GGTGTCTAGAGGGGGAGATGAACTTTTTGCGGCTGGGGGAGGGGCGCGAGGAGGAAGAGGAGGAGGAAGAGGATGGTGCTTTGGAAGCTGCTTCCTCGTTTGCACAGTTTACAGTGTACTGAATGCTTTAGTGAGAGAACCGGAGCGAGAACCGGAGCTGAGGCACCTGGTCGCGGCGCCTCAGAGACCTGGCTCACTGTGAATCTGAACTCAGCGGCCTCTCCTGGGGCTGTGAGGGGCTTCCACCACAACTACCGCTACCCCACTTTGCAGATGACAGAGGGCAGCTGCCAGAGCACCCAGCACCCTCAGCCGATTCTGCATGCAGCCCAGGCTGGGACCCAGGCACCCCATCTCCATCCAGCCCAGTGTTCCTGAGCAGATGGCTCTCCAGCAGCGGATCAGGAAGGCAGGGCTGCTGCCTTCAACCAGGCAGAATAGCAAAGTCCAGTGGTTTGGTGCGTGGACTGGGTCTGCTGCCTGGGTCCGAACCCAGTTCTGTCCTTCACACGAAAAGACTTTTCAGCAGCGTGGACCCCAGTCTTCTCTGTGAATGGCTGATAAGTCTTAAGAGGGTGTGGGCACTGTGGTGGGTATAAAGTACTTAGCAGTGTCCGGTGTAGTTACCCCTCAGTAAGTGTGGGCCAGACCCCCCTGCCCAGGGCTAAGCACTCGCCTACCCCAGGCCCTCTTGTAGGGCTGAGCACTCTTAACCTTCCTCTACCTGACTTGCAGGAGAAGATGGGGAGCCCCGAGGATGACCTGATTGGGATTCCGTTCCCCGACCACAGCAGCGAGCTCCTGAGCTGCCTCAATGAGCAGCGCCAGCTAGGCCACCTCTGCGACCTCACCATCCGGACGCAGGGCCTGGAATACCGTACCCACAGGGCCGGCCGGCCGCCGGGGGTGCAGGGGCCGGAGTGTGCGAGCTGGACTTCGTAGGGCCGGAGGCGCTGGGCGCCCTGCTGGAGTTTGCCTACACAGCCACCCTGACTACCAGCAGCGCCAACATGCCGGCTGTGCTGCAGGCGGCCCGGCTGCTGGAGATCCCGTGCGTCATCGCCGCCTGCATGGAGATTCTGCAGGGCAGCGGGCTAGAAGCCCCCAGCCCCGACGAGGATGACTGTGAGCGAGCCCGCCAGTACCAGGAGGCCTTCCCCACAGCCACGGCCTCCGCCTCAGCCTCAGGAGTTCACAATGGTGAAGACAGCCCTCCACAGGTGCCCCTCCCGCCACCGCCACCACCACCTAGGCCTGTCGCCCGCCGCAGCCGCAAGCCCCGCAAAGCTTTCCTGCAAACCAAGGGGGCCCGGGCGAACCACCTAGTACCAGAGGTGCCCTCGGTGCCTACACACCCCTTGACCTATGAGGAGGAGGAAGTGGTGGGCAGAGGGGGCAGCAGTGGGGGCAGTGGGCTGGGGGACAGCTACAGCCCTCCCACAGGGACTGCCTCACCTCCTGAGGGGCCTCTGAGCTATGAGGCCTATGAGGGGGAGGAAGAAGAGGAGGAGCTGGTCTACCCCCCTGCCTATGCCCTGGCACAGGGCAGTGGGCCTCCGCTGTCTCCAGAGGAGCTAGGCTCGGATGAAGATGCCATTGATCCTGACCTGATGGCCTATCTAAGCTCCCTGCACCAGGATGCCCTAACACCGGGCTTGGACGGCCAGGACAAGCTGGTGCGCAAACGCCGCTCCCAGATGCCCCAGGAGTGCCCGGTCTGCCATAAGATCATCCACGGAGCAGGCAAGCTGCCGCGCCACATGCGAACCCACACGGGCGAGAAGCCCTTTGCCTGCGAAGTCTGCGGCGTCCGCTTCACACGGTGAGCACCAAGTGGGGAAAGGCCGGCGGGGCCAGGAGGGGAGGGGAGGCCTCAGGAGACCTGAGGTGGAGGGGGGAGGTCCTGGTTGGACAAGGGTGCCAGTGGGTTTCTGGAGTGAGAGGAGAGACCAGGATAGGGAGACCAGGGGACAGGAGGCATGAGGGGCCCAGGGCCTGAGAAGAACAGGGAGACCAGGGGACAGGAGGCATGAGGGGCCCAGGGCCTATGAAGGCTGTGCTGGAGGTGGAGGAGGGGACAGTACCAAGGCCCAGCCAAGAGCGGAGGACAACAGCACAGGTGTCCTGGGGCAATAATGGGGAGACAAATGGTGAGGGACAGGAAGGGAACAAGGCCTGGGAGCATGGCGAGAACGGGCAAGGGCGCCCACCCTGAACTCATGTCCCTTGCCCTCACCCCTGCCCACACCAGGAACGACAAGCTCAAGATCCACATGCGGAAGCACACAGGAGAGCGCCCCTACTCGTGCCCGCACTGCCCGGCCCGCTTCCTGCACAGCTATGACCTCAAGAACCACATGCACCTGCACACGGGGGACCGGCCCTACGAGTGCCACCTGTGCCACAAGGCTTTCGCCAAGGAGGACCACCTGCAGCGCCACCTCAAGGGCCAGAACTGCCTGGAGGTGCGCACCCGGCGGCGCCGCAAGGACGATGCGCCACCCCACTATCCACCACCCTCCGCCACCACCCCTTCCCCGGCTGGTCTCGACCTCTCCAACGGCCACCTGGACTCCTTCCGCCTCTCTCTGGCTCGATTCTGGGAGCAGTCAGCCCCAACCGGGCCCCCGGTCTCCACCCCGGGGCCTCCTGATGACGACGACGAGGAGGGAGCACCCACCACACCCCAGGCTGAAGGTGCCATGGAGTCCTCTTAAAGAGGGAAGAGTGGCCAGGCTGGAGCAGCACAAGGCCAGGGTCACCCATGCCAAGCAGTGGGAGCACGCGGGACCGACAACTGGGGTCAGGGCTACTTGATGGCGCAGAGCCCTCATTCCAACTCCAAGCTGAGAAGGGTTTGGGGCAGAGGCTCCCCAGATCGGAGTGACCCCCCCAAGGCGTGAAACATATGACATGTATATATTTACAGCTCTATTGTAAAGGTGGGGTCCCTGTCCCCAGCTGCTCCTGGGGAGTAGAAGCAATAATGTATTTCTGATTGTGGGGTCCCACTTCGGCTATGCGGGTTTCTAGGGGGTGGGGGCTTGGGACCAAAGCCTCGCCCCGCCCCCATGCCCCCTGGGGGTTTTGGCTGTGTAAGGGGGTGAAGGACTGCCCCTCCCTTCCGAGACCCCTCCTTCCTGGTTTCTGTTCCCTTTTCCTGGCAGTGAATTATGCAAAGGGGGCGGCAAACGAAGGGTAGGTGGGGGGAAGCAAGGTGGAAGCTTGAAAGACTGGGGGGACTGGGCCTGTAAGGAAAGAGCCATCCCAGTCCCCTCCGCCCTGCTCCCAGCGCTGAGTCATGGGGTCCCGGAGAAGAAGGGGGCGGGGTGGCCTGATTGGCTCGCCTGCCCCTGGGGGCAGCGGGAGGGGCCCCGCCCAGCTCGGGAGCGCTCCGCTCCACTCCCCTCCGGTTCCCTCCCCTCCCGCGTCCCCGGGCAGGGAATGTCTTGTTCCCGCCGCTCCCCCCCCCGGGC